AAAATTTAGGAACCTATGAATAAAAAGGGTGTAACAAATTTTTTATAATTAATTCGTATATAATTGTTACATTATCATGAACATACGCCATCTATATATATATATAAAGAATTACCATTTACTAAAAATAGTAGCAAAAATTTAAGAAACATTTAATGCATACTATTTTTGGAATTTTTTTTAAATATGTGCATTAATTGTTTCTATTTACACGATTTCAAATAAGATCAAATAACATATGATCAAATATTTATTTAAATAAATTTATTAATATCTGCAGTATTTTCATTGATATAAATTACAAGATTGATTTTCGTGATTAATGTTGATAATACTTTGGTCAAGATAAATATTATCTTATTAATATTTGTAATACTTTCATTGATATTCATTACAATAAATTACAAGATTGATTTCTGTGATCCATTTGATATTTTGGTCAAGATAATATTACACCATAGTTTAAGTTCTAACCATAATATTAGTTTTTTTTTTTTTCACAAATATTCACTTTATCTAAAACTATTATGGACAATCGTAACAGGTTAGGTAGAATTTTTTTTCAAGTAATCAGACAATATCAAGTTGGTGAATTAATCTTTGCCAATATATTTGTTTCTTAAGCTTTATTTTGTTAAATATAAAAAAAAAAATCGTTCTTCAAATTAATATATTTTACCATTTAAGAGATACCATATACAATAAATAGTTTTACTAATGGTAAAAAATTAAAATTGAAACATATTAACTATTGTATAGAATTTATTCGTATATTATTGGCACCCATGATTATATTTTTTCATTTTTTTATTTTGATTTATTTCTATAATTAAATTCTTGTAAAATATATTTTCATTGCTGAGTATGCTAAATAAACCATAAATTCTTATAATGTGAATTAGAAAAATCATGATCATAGAGGAGATCGAGTTTTTTGCATTTTCTAAATAAAAGTTGTTTAATTAGTATACAAAATTATATTATAAAAAACATGTTTATATTTTATAAAATACTTATACACTATTTAATATTAAATTTATTTACATATTTTAAATTGATTACATAAATAAATAATACCAACGTGCATTAAATATTTTTTATTATATAAAATAAAAATAAAAATAAAAAGAAGACGTACAACTTCTATAACTTTATAAATAATAATTACAGTATATGACATAAAGTGTATAATAAAATAATAATTAAGTATTATACGGTGAACAAGAATAAGTAAGATTGTTATTCTCTCTTATATCAAGGAATACATATATATATATACTAAAATTCAAATTTAAATTAGGATAAATGTGTTAGTGAAATAATATATTAGCTATTTTAATATTTTGACCAAAAATATAGCGTTGATTAAAAGTGGTGCAAAATATATTATAACCTTATTGTTTATTATACTTAACGTTGATTAAAAGAGATGAAAAATAGATGATAACCCTATTGTTTTATATACTTAAACGGACAAAATATGTGAAAATAACTCATTTAATATTTCCATCTCGTGATCCTTGAATATACCTGCTTGATGCATCAGAAAGACCAAAGAAAAACAACAATAATAAAAGTGCTACACGTCCTCTCAATTTATTTATTTATTTATTATTATTTTTTTCTTTTTGTACGTTTAGCAGCCGGTAGAATCAATTATTTGCCAGCTAGCCCATAGATCAATTATCTAATAAAACTATTCATAGTCCAAAAGTCAAACTATTCCAAACACATGGTGACAACCAATTCAAAGGTTAAATTAATTACAAAATAGTGCTACCTCATTTTTTATAAATAAATGTCGTTTTGACTTTTTTGATTCATCAATTTTGTTATGTATCTAGATATTAATATGTTTAGATACATAGCAAAATGAATGAATCAAAAAAGTCAAAACGACATTTATTTAAAAAAGGAAGGAGTAATATTTAAAGGACACTAAGATTTCTGTACCAAA